GTTGCTTCCTTATCTTCCTTGGTCGATGTGATGTTGAACTTGCAGCAGTGAGCCATTACTAGATGTGAATGCCTAACCGTGGGTGAGATCAAACGTGTGGGGAAGGGGATTACTATACAGATAGATAGATTTAAAAAGAGTTGTTGCTCTGTGGGTCTGGGTTGTGTGTTTGTGATAAATTTATAGTATTGTGTTGTTGCCTTTTAATAAATACCTTTTAATGTAGATGAACCTTGTGTAATATATATATATATATATATATATATATATATATATATTAATGTGGTTATTTACCACAAATATAACACAATTTCATAATATTTACATCTGAATTATTTACAACTATAAACATCATAACAATGAAGCTGAAAGTTCATATACATTCAGGCGGATCCACCACTAATTGATATTCTGTTTAAACTGAAAAAAAATTGTAGAAAAAGAGCCAAAAAAGACAAAAAACTGAAAAAATTTGAAAAAAAGAGAAAAAAATGAAAAAAGAAAAATTAGAAAAAAATAACAAATATGAAAACATCTGATAAGTTCAAAAGACTGCAAGAAATGCACTGCTTGTATGATGAAAATGGTTGGATCTCACCACAGGTTATGGATGCTTTAAATATGGGCTGTGGAGTGAAGTCTGTTCACTTATAGGCAGATGTCCTATTGAGTGCTGAAGAGAGAGATTCCAAAGTGTCCCTTTGTACGATGAACAGTAATCAGAGGCAATCACCGGTCTCCAATTGCGGTCTCCTGTTTCACGTGTCTCGTGTGTGGCTGCGCTGTGCGCTCGGGAGGGAAATGCCCCTTTGGAGGCCCTAAATTCAGGAGAGAGGTTATTGGACATTTATAGTATGTTTTGGTGGCAGCCAGTGCACCTCATGGCATGGCACGCCCATCAGCGTACTTCCGTGATAGTTACATAGTTACATAGTTACATAGTTACATAACTTGCGTCCATCAAGTTCAGCCTTCCTCACATATGTTTTTGCTGTTGATCCAAAAGAAGGCAAAAAAACCTAGTCTGAAGCGATTCCAATTTTGCCACAAACTAGGAAATAAATCCTTCTTGACTCCAAAATAGCAGTCAGATGTCTCCTTGGATCAAGCAGCTATTACCCCACTAATTAGAAATTGTATCCCTGTATGTTATGTTTTTGTAAGTATTTATCCAATTGCAGTTTAAACATCTGTAATGACTCTGACAAAACCACCTCTTCAGGCAGAGAATTCCATATCTTTATTGTTCTTACTGTAAAAATACCCTTTCTTTGCCTTAGATGAAATCTCCTTTCTTCCAGCCTAAATGTGTGACCTCATATCCTATGTATAGCCCTGTTTATGAATAGATTTCCAGATAAAGGTTTGTACTGGCCCCGAATATATTTGTATAAAGTTATCATATCCCCTCTCAGGCGCCGTTTTTCCAAACTAAACAGATTTAATTCTTTTAACCTTTCTTCATAACTAAAATGCTCCATTCCTTTGATCAATTTTGTAGCTCGTCTCTGGACCTTTTCTAGTTCCATGATATCTTTCTTTAGAACAGGCGCCCAAAATTGCACAGCATATTCAAGGTGTGGTCTTACCAGCGATTTATAAAGGGGCAAAATTATATTTTCATCCTGAGAATTTATGCCCCTATTTATACATGACAAAATCTTACTGGCCTTAGCAACTGCAGATTGACATTGCATATTGCTGCCTAATTTGTTGTCTATAACAATTCCCAAATCCTTCTCGTGTGTGGTTATCCCTAATTCACTACCATTTAGTGTGTAAGTTGCTTGTGCATTTTTAACCCCAAAGTGCATAACTTCACATTTCTCTACGTTAAATTTAATCTGCCATTTAAGTGCCCAGTCCCCCAATCTATCCAAATCCCTCTGCAGCAAAGCAATATCCTGCTCACATTTTATTACTTTACAAAGTTTTGTGTCATCTGCAAACACTGATACATGGTTTTCAATGCCTATTTCAAGATCATTTATAAATATGTTAAATAGAAGTGGTCCCAAAACAGAACCCTGAGGGACACCACTTACCACTTTTGTTCAGCCTGAAAATTTACCATTAATTACAACTCGTTGTACTCTATCCTTAAGCCAATGTTCTAACCAAGAACAAGAATATTCATCTAGACCAATTTCTTTTAGTTTGAAGACTAACCTATTGTGATGAACCGTATAAAATGCCTTGGCAAAATCCAAGTAGATCACATCCACTGCAACACCCTGATCTATACTTCTACTTACTTCTTCGTAGAATGCAATTAGGTTAGTTTGACATGACCTATGTTTTATAAAACCATGCTGATTATTGCTAATAACAAAGTTCTTCCCAATGAATTCCTGAATATTATCCCTTAATAGCCCTTCAAATATTTTCCCAGTTACAGAAGTTAAGCTCACAGGTCTATAATTTCCAGGCAAGGATTTTGAACCCTTTTTAAATATAGGAACAACATCTGCCTTCCTCCAATCCTCCGGTACAACACCTGAAACAAAAGAATCTTGAAAAATTAAATACAGAGGTTCACTTATTTCCCCACTTAGCTCCTTAAGTACTCGTTGGTGAATACCGTCAGGCCCCAGATCTTTATTTACATGAATTTTCTTTAATAGCTGTAGCACCTTGTCTCGAGTTATCCAGTCACAAGTTATTTGCAAGTTTTTTGCAGCAATCATTTGCATGTCTCTTGCCATAGGATCCTCATTAATATATACTGACGAAAAATAATTAAAATTTCTGCTTTTTCCTGGTCTTCATTAGCTAATAAACCCAACTCTGTTTCCAATGTACCTACACTTTAATTTTTTGTTTTTTTAGAATATGATGCCTCTGATTTGTCTGATTTAAATGCTTTAAATGTCCTTTTCTTATTTTTAATCTCTTGTTTTACTTCTCTACTAAGCCACATTGGATTTGTTTCTTTTATATTTATTTCCCAATGGTACCCACTGAGAAATGTACATTTCTAATATTTGTTTGAATAGTTTCCATTTATCCTCAGTGTTTTTATCACTAAGGAATTTATGCCAGTCGATATGTTGTAGAGCTGCCTTAATCTGATTGAAATTGGCTTTTTTAAAATTATATGTTTTAGTATATCCCACTTGCTTTTGCTTTTTTGAGTTTATTTCAAAATTTACCATATTGTGATCACTATTTCACAAATGCTCCCCTACTTGAATGTTGGTTAAAAGATCAACATTGTTTGTTATAACGAGATCCAGACAAGCATCCTTTCTAGTTGGTACTTGTACCAGTTGTGACATAAAGGTGTCATTTAACACATTTAAAAACCTGATTCCCCTTGCTGAAGTACTAGTCCCTCTATCCCAATTTATGTCTGGGTAATTAAAATCTCCAATAATTAACGTGTTACCTCGATTTGCAGCTTTCTCAATTTGCTCTAACATCTGTTCTTCCTCAATAATATTTACATTAGGTGGTTTATAACATATGCCAACCAATAATTGATTTCCCTTTGTTTGCCCCAAGCAGATATCTACCCATAAAGCCTCCACATTTTCCTTGTCATACTCCACATGTCTAAGATTTGACTTTAACTCATGGTTGACATATAAACATACCCCACCACCCTTCTTGTTTTTCCTACCCTTCCTAAATAACATGTACCCATTTAAATTAACTGCCCAGTCATGTGTCTCATCCCACCATGTTTCTGTTATGCCTATTAAATCATATTGTTTAGTGTATGCTATTGCCTCTAGTTCCCCCATTTTGTTATAAAGGCTCCTTGCATTCGTAAGCATATCAAAGTCTTTTGTACTTTTTGTGAATTATCAATATTACATACCTCCTCTGTTCTGAGCTTTCCCCTCCCCCCATCTCCACCCCCTTTGTTCTGAGCTAAAGCCCATCTCCTTTGCATTCTATTTCTATTTTCTAGATTGCTTTGACCCTCCCCCACACCACTAGTTTAAAATCTCCTCTGTGACGAAACCAATCTCGCCACATTGCATTGGAGGAGCCTGGTTGCCCGCCTGCTGCCTTTGGATTATGGACCGGCAGCTAAAGGGTTAATTTTACTGTGCAGAAGGATTTATTTCTCCCTTTCTGCACAGCCGTTCGGTAGATTCCATCTACCAAACAAACAGTCTCTTTTCAGCCTCCCCAGAGCCGTGGGAAGCCGGCCGGCGACCTTAATTGGCCACCCAGAAGCTGGAGTGCGCCCTCCATTTACCTCCCTGAAGCCGCGGTTAACCGCGGCTTAACGAGCGTGTGCCGGCAATTGACCACCCAGTAGCTGCGGTTAACCGCAGCTTAATTGATTGTTACTGGGTGGTCGCGGTTACACTTAGCCGCCACACGATGGCGGTGTTCTGGAGCTCCCCGGGCAGCCAGCGCTTGTCTGCCCGGCTTTCATGCACCAAACCCGGACACTTTTACGTGCAGGCACCGCTGAACCTCCAACCCCTGGTTCTAATTCGCACGGATTGAACGAATGCATGTAAATTCGGTATTTTATGTTGGAGAAATGTTTTAACCCAGATAGCTATGCCATGGAGCCTATTCGTGGAATTAAAGACTTTGGCTCCATGGCAATTAAAACTGTATTCGTGTGGTCTGAGTGCCATTCACCTAATAATGTGCACTCAGACCTGAGCTATCTGGGGATATGTTACATGTCTGTGTTTTATGTAGTAAATGTTACTTTGTGCATTTTAAAGTATAATGCTGGTTTTGTGTTCCCACGTGTGTAATGGAGTTTTGCCTTTGACTTGGGAGATAATTGAGTTACTTCCCAATTATCTCCCAGGGCAGAGGGGAGGAAGCCAGGATGCATTGTGGGAATATACTGTGACTGTGTGTCCTATTTGTATACTTGTCTGTCCCTTGTCACAGTCTTCCATCTGGTCCCCTAGGGGAGTGTACACCAGGTTGGAGACCTGCATAAAAGCCGGGCAGGTAGCCCTCATTAAACAGACCACTGCTTGACCCTCAACACGGAGCCTTGTCTCGTCTTTGGGGGGATTTACTGTATGCTGCTAAGGACTGATTGCCAGGAGTGTAAGCCGCTTGGGAGCTTTTCCTGTTCGTCTGCTAGCAGCTATTCGTATGGTTCCTGTTCGTTTATTTGAAGTGCTACCTTATTCCCTTGTATGCCGTTCGGGAGTTTGGAGCATTCACTTGTATGCAGTTCGAGTGTTTGGAGCATTCACTTGTATGCAGTTCGAGTATTTGGACCATTCACTTGTATGCAGTTCGAGTGTTTGGAGCATTCCCTTGTATGCCGTTCGGGAGTTTGGAGCATTCACTTGTATTCAGTTCGTGAGTTTTGGTGATTCTACAGCAGCTGTGCCTGTCTCTGAAAGGGGATTATCGTCTAAGCGGTTTTTTCCCCTTTTGTGCAAAACGGTCCGTAACAATTGGTGGCAAGCGGCGGGATCGTTCCCACAGACTACAGGACAGCTACAGGCGACACCATTCCTTGGATTTACAATTTGAGGGCAACGCATGTCTGAGTACAGCGACCCTGACAGCAACAGCATGGAACCAGCAGTGTCATACGAGGAGGAGGACCTGGATGGCCGGGATGCATTAAGGAAAGGCATCTGGTACAAGGCCCTGGATAATGTACAGTACCAGCGGGGTGAGAGTCTCCCCAGTGAAGAGCAGCGGTTGCAGAAGCAAGTGGCCCTGCGGATGCCCTTCCTGGGAGAGCAGCCCCTAGATGAATGGGTGAAGGAATTGGAGCACCGGGTATGGCAGGAGATTTGGCTGGAAGATGCATACCAGGCGCTCTGGTGGTATGGGGCACAGTACCTGCCCTGGACAGCCGAGCATGACAAGCCAGAGGGAGAGGAGTTTGATGGTCCTGGCTTGTTATGGGAGGCTTTTTCAGAGCCTGAATTTGGGAGCCCTACACAAGCCCGGTTCAGTGATCTCTTGGAGTGGAGGGAGAGCAGGTATGACTGGGACGACACTCACGACATTGAGCAAGACCTGGCTCACCTAGCAACCCTGGAGTGGGAACTGGAGCAGGACTACCGAGATCTCTTCCACTCCATTGAGAAGATTCAGCAGGACAGCAAGGTGACAGAGCCAGAACCAGACCCATTCAGCTGGGAAGACATTGTGGATATTTTCTGGGAAGAACCCCAGGTGGCCGGTAGAGATGGGACCGAGGTCTCTCCACCGGTCCTGCAGGGAATTGGGAGCCCAGTCTCCATTCCCCAGCGGCCGTGTGATTTATTGGGAATTGGGAGCCCAGTCTCCATTCCCCAGCGGGAGATATTGCAGGGAATTGGGAGCATGAGCTCCATTCCCCAGCGGCAGGCTGAGTTACAGGGGACAGAGATAGTCGCTCCTGTCCCCCAGCAGCAGAGTGATATGCCGGGAAGGCAGTGTAAAGTGCAGGGAGAGGAGAACAGCGTCCTCCCTCCCCAGCGGCAGGCTGAGATACAGGGGGCAGAGGTAGTTGTTCCTGCCCCCCAGCAGCCAAGTGATATGCCGGGAAGGCAGTGGGAAGTCCAGGGAGAGGAGAGCAGTGTCCTCCCTCCCCAGCGGCAGCGTGATTTTTGGGGAATTGGGAGCCCAGTCTCCATTCCCCAGCGGCAGAATGATGCTTTGGGAATTGGGAGCCCAGTCTCCATTCCCCAGCGGCAGTATGATGCTTTGGGAATTGGGAGCCCAGTCTCCATTCCCCAGCGGCAGCACAGATCATTGGGAATTGGGAGCCCCGTCTCCATTCCCCAGCGGCAGAGTGTCCTACCGGGAATAGAGAGCCCAGTCTCCTTTCCCCAGCAGCAGGACTCTGTATTGGGAGCAGAGACAGTCGGTCTCCCTCCCCCACAGCTGGAAGTATGTATGGGAGAGGAGCTTGTTACCCCCTCTCCCCAGCGGCAGCTTAATGTACAAAGGGGAGACAGTAAGCCCCACAACCGTGCAGATGGGACCGTAGTCTCTACACTGCCAGCACAGGGGGTAGGGACGGTCGGTCCTGCCCCCCAGCGACAGGGCTGTTTAGCCAAAGGGGAGACAGTCGGTCTCCCCCTCCAGCAGCAGAGATGGGTAACCAAAGGGGAGACGGTCGGTCTCCAGCAGCAGGACTGTGCAGCTAAAGGGGAGACGGTCGGTCTCCAGCAGCAGGACTGTGCATCTAAAGGGGAGACAGTCAGTCTCCAGCAGCAGCAGCAGAGCGGTGTATTTAAAGGGGAGACAGTCGGTCTCCCCCTCCAACAACCAGGCTTCCACCAGGCTACCCTCCCAGTAGCGCTGGCAACAGGGCAGAGTGCCGCTGGTCTCTGCCCACGCAGCAACCCACCAAGGCAGCGTACCCGTACCCAGCACAGCCGTGGTGAGGCACCTGGACATGGACAAGCTTCTTCTCTACCCAGGTGTAGTAACCATTTATTGTGGGTGGGCTGTGCTGTTGATTATGTTTTGTGGGTGGGCTGCTGGACTAACAAGGGCACTGACCGGCAGGAGGTCAGATACCCTGTTAGTCTGTTTTGAAAAGGGGAGAGATGTGACGAAACCAATCTCGCCACATTGCATTGGAGGAGCCTGGTTGCCCGCCTGCTGCCTTTGGATTATGGACCGGCAGCTAAAGGGTTAATTTTACTGTGCAGAAGGATTTATTTCTCCCTTTCTGCACAGCCGTTCGGTAGATTCCATCTACCAAACAAACAGTCTCTTTTCAGCCTCCCCAGAGCCGTGGGAAGCCGGCCGGCGACCTTAATTGGCCACCCAGAAGCTGGAGTGCGCCCTCCATTTACCTCCCTGAAGCCGCGGTTAACCGCGGCTTAACGAGCGTGTGCCGGCAATTGACCACCCAGTAGCTGCGGTTAACCGCAGCTTAATTGATTGTTACTGGGTGGTCGCGGTTACACTTAGCCACCACACGATGGCGGTGTTCTGGAGCTCCCCAGGCAGCCAGCGCTTTTCTGCCCGGCTTTCCTGCACCAAACCCGGACACTTTTACGTGCAGGCACCGCTGAACCTCCAACCCCTGGTTCTAATTCGTACGGATTTAACGAATGCATGTAAATTCGGTATTTTATGTTGGAGGAATGTTTTAACCCAGATAGCCATGCCATGGAGCCTATTCGTGGAATTAAAGACTTTGGCTCCATGGCAATTAAACTGTATTCGTGTGGTCTGAGTGCCATTCACCTAATAATGTGCACTCAGACCTGAGCTATCTGGGGATATGTTACATGTCTGTGTTTTATGTAGTAAATGTTACTTTGTGCATTTTAAAGTATAATGCTGGTTTTGTGTTCCCACGTGTGTAATGGAGTTTTGCCTTTGACTTGGGAGATAATTGAGTTACTTCCCAATTATCTCCCAGGGCAGAGGGGAGGAAGCCAGGATGCATTGTGGGAATATATTGTGACTGTGTGTCCTATTTGTCTACTTGTCTGTCTTTTGTCACAGTCTCCCATTTGGTCCCCTAGGGGAGTGTCCACCAGGTGGGAGACCTGCATAAATACTGGGCAGGTAGCCCTCATTAAACAGACCACTGCTTGACCCTCAACACGGAGCCTTGTCTCGTCTTTGGGGGGATTTACTGTATGCTGCTAAGGACTGATTGCCAGGAGTGTAAGCCGCTTGGGAGCTTTTCCTGTTCGTCTGGTAGCAGCAATTCGTATGGTTCCTGTTCGTGTATTTGGAGTGCTACCTTATTCCCTTGTATGCCGTTCGGGAGTTTGGAGCATTCACTTGTATGCAGTTCGAGAGTTTGGAGCATTCACTTGTATGCAGTTCGAGTGTTTGGACATTCCCTTGTATGCAGTTCGAGTGTTTGGACCATTCCCTTGTATGCAGTTCGAGTGTTTGGAGCATTCACTTGTATTCAGTTCGTGAGTTTTGGTGATTCTACAGTAGCTGTGCCTGTCTCTGAAAGGGGATTATCGTCTAAGCGGTTTTTTCCCCTTTTGTGCAAAACGGTCCGTAACATCCTCCAACCTTCTAGCCATCCTATCCCCCAGCACAGCAGACCCTCTTCCGTTTAGGTGCAATCCATCATGATTATACAGGCCGTTCGGGAGCTCCGGTCTTTCGTTATTGTGGTTCCCCATCGGTGTTCGGTACGTTTAGGCGAACTCGATGGCAAAGTGTATTTCGTGCGGCGTTCAGTTGTTTTAGCTGGGATCTGAGCGGTATTCCCACGAAATGTGCGCTCAGACCCCAGCTATCTACCGAACGTCCATTCATGTGACTAAACCGAATAGTGTAAAAGTATTTAAATGTGAAATGCCGGTTCTGCTGCACTGAGGGTGTATTCCAGTGGGAGTATCCCTCTCGTCCAGCAGTGCCTGATGGGAGAAATGCCCAGAATGTTAAGTCCCCCATGTAGTCCCCTACTGTGTTACCCCTGCTATGTCAGTAGGGAAACCCCTTGCATGGGGACATGCATAAATACTGGAGCTGTGAATAAAGACCTCAGTTGACTATCAGAACTGTGTTTCGTCCGGTTACTGGGGGATTTGGGATATTGCCTTACTTTTCAGCGCTTGACTGTGGGTTACCTTCTATACCAGCGGAGATCGTGGGATTTAATATTGCCGCTCTGCTACAATTGGTGGCAAGCGACGGGATCCAACCTTACAGCCGAAACGCGCCGTTTGGATAAAGTGAAACTACCGAACGAGAAAAGGGAATGGCAATTCGTATACAGCAGAGCACCAAATGAGAAAAGTGAATGGGGACGGATTACGCTGCATTGAAAAGGCAGACACTAAAGGAACTGCTGGAAGCCAGGGGTAAGATAGCCAGCAACAAGCCGAAAGCAGTGCTGATCGCCGAGCTGATGGAGGGAGACAGAGCCCACAGCGTTACACCCCCACCAGCCATGGAGGAAACCCTACACCAAAGAGAGATGAGAACCAGGATGGAGTTTCTGCCGCAGCCAGTACCCATGGAAATATTGACCGTGCTGATGGCGGATGTGCAGGAGTATGTGATGGCACACCGTCCACAGGAGGCACCGTCCTGGGCAGAATCCATTACTGCCTCCGTCTACAGCCAGGTAAAACCCCAAATCCCATACCATGCCTTTAAGATGTTTTGTGAGGAGAAGGATGAGATTGACGGTTATTTACAAGATTTTGAGAGGCTGTGTGATTTACACGACTTGGAGCAGGCAGTATGGGTACCGTTACTAGCAGGCAAACTGTCAGGTCGGGCAGCAGAAGCCTGTACCCAGAGAGGACAGCAAGGATTATACTAAAGTAAAAAGAGCCATACTAGAAAGATATGCCATTACCCCGGAGGCACAAATTCAGAGGATTGCGCAAACCGGAGAAAGATTCTCATGCCGAATGGGCGCACAAGCTGGATTAAGCA